GGGTCGGCCCGCGGTCCCCGTTTTCACGGGCCGGTTTTTACGGGTCATGGCCGGCCCGTCCGTCTTGACACCTCTACCCCAACCTAATCAAACAAGTGAGATTGGATCCTCACATGATGGAAACCGTTAGTTTAAAAAGTCAAAAATTCTTTCAAATGACCGTTATGCCTTTATTATTAATTAAATATTAAATAATGAAAAACTAAAAAGAAAAAATAATCTGACAAGCCTAAAAAGTAAAGAATTAAGCTAGTTGTACAATGAATTTGTACAACTAGTTTGACAATGTGTGAGGCGTAAAGATCTTGATCATTGATCTGAAAAACAATTTCAAATCAACGGTCAAATCATGTCAACTCACATATTATCAAACTAATTGTACATATTCCTTCACCCATCTCTCTCTCTCAAATCTATACATACATGTATACATACATTTATCAACGGTGGCCAGCAAACAGTCTGGAAATCCACTGGCAGCAAGTCTCCTAGAAAGCAGCTCACAACCAAGGTGATAAAATCTGCCCCACAACCGGAGGAGGCTTACCTGGTGAGACTTTTGGTGGATACAAATCTGTGGCCAACTAACTATTATGCCTAAGGATATTCAGTTGGCTAGAAGGATTAGGGAGGGGTGAAAGGGCTCAGATTATATCTAGACTTAGGGTTAAAGCTTGCAGATGGGGATGGAAGTGTAATAAATCTTTGATTTTGGGTTTCGAATTCAAATTTGCAATCGCATATGTAACAAAATTGTGGGAATCTAATGCTTAAAGGAATTTAGTCAAAAAAGTAAAAAACAAAATCAGACTTCTTCCCCATCCATTCTTTTTTTATCGCTGTAATTGCCATTGCCACTGAGAGTGAAGAATTCATTGCAGGTGGTGGGAAAGATGGCGTCAGCAGCGGCGTTGGTAGTTGGGCAGATGGGGGAGAAGAATGAATTTTTTCCTCGTCAATTTTTTTTTTAATAGATTTTTGTTTTATTTTTTTTCTTTAAATATCTAGTTTTGACTAAGGGCATAATAGTTTTTTTAGAGAAATTTTGAACTTTCAATGGTCAAAGAAACGGTTCCTGCCATGTGAGGATCCAACCTCACAATGGTGAATAGATTGGTTATTCAAAACCTCACTTTTAAATATAAGGGAGCTAGTGCCACGCTAAAGGAAAAGGTTGGAGAGCTCCGCCCTGATTTCCCAATGTAAAAACATAAGCCATTTCCCATGAATAAATATTTTAACATGAAAGGAGTTAGTTTATTTGCAGCTTTCTAATCGAGGATTACGAAATTGATAGAATATCAGTATTTCAACTATAATCACCAGTTAAGAACAGCAGTTCATTAATTACAAGATAGATGTCAGCCATGATATTATCTAGTAACAGGGCTAATGCTTGCTTACAGTACTGTCCATGTAACGATATAGAAATAGATGTGTATGCTAAGTTTGAAACTGGTTTTGTCTGTTTCATAAAATTCATTGCACATATCGGGAAAAACTGCCGATCTCTGCAAATTGTTTGGCAGGTGGATGATGACCACAAGTTGTTCTATTAACTGAGAGCAAGTTTTGCAAAGCTTTAAAGTACATCAACTTACTTGTAAGTAAATTTTTCTAAACATATTTGGATATATTACATATTTCTTGTAAAAAAAAATTGGTCAAAAATAAATTACTAATTTCCAACTTTGACCCAAAAATGTTCATTTAACCCCTGTTTGAGCTACATTAAAATTCTCATTCTCATTCTCATTCTCATTCTCATTTTTCTACTCATTTCAACCACACATTATTCAATAAAATAATATTTTTCATCACATCAATAACTTTTCCTTTTTTTTTTTCAACCACACATTCTCCATCAGTCTACTATTCCAAAATAATGTGGCTCAAACACGCCCTTATTCTATGAAATCTAATTTACTCATAAGTAAGTTTTTCAAGTTTAGGCAGAAATGCACCCCGAGTCTATTTAGGGTTATGGAACTCAAATCCTTAGGGACATGGGCATCAACGGGGAAAAAATTAGAAAGAAAGGAGTGATGAATTCCTATAAGACATTTTAGATAAATGAGTTTGCCGATTTGAGTCTTGTCACACTAAACCAATTTCAGTACTCCAGAAAAGAAGATCCAGAATTCAGTATTATAATCATGCATCTCAGAGTATAAGCAAAGTTCGTGAGTTCTGGTTTGGCGTCCAAAAATAAATGCGGGGAGCGACAAACTTCGTTTCCTCAGGATAGTAGCCCATTAAGCCATTATCATTTCACCAACAATACAAAGCATTTAAGACCCTGAATACTGTGTGTAATTGAGTACAGGCATCGTAGTACAACATTTCAAAAGTTATCATTGAAGCAGTCATAACATTATCCATTTAAAAGAGATAGAAAAGTAACACGAGCGCAAATTCAAAATTATAAGATTTTCCTCATAGGTAATCCTATTTTCAAATATCCTATGAGTTGAAACAATATAACCCTTTTAAAGGCAAATAATACACTTGATTTCTACATTTTACAAGGCTTTTCTTGCATTTCCTCTTTTTCATTCCTCAGAAATTACAATAGAAAACTTACGGTGTCGTGAAGATTAAGAATGTGGTTAATTTCCAGTGCCTTCACCACTGGAGTAAAGAAAGGAAAAGACTAATAGAGAAATTTACAAGTACCATGAAGTAAACACTAACCTTAAAGTTTTTCCAAATCTGTGGAACCCTTGCAAAGAAAAATATTGCATGCTGCGATGCCTGTCAAAATTTGCTCCAAGTCAAGCCTCATAAATAAATATCGGGTTAATAAAAGAAAATAATGATGTCTTCCCAGGAAATTGCAGAGGAATACAAAATCAAAGGGCAAGGAGAAAGTGAGGAACAATGGGCATAGATTTGGAGCATGTTTGGTTAGGGTTCAAAATTTTACTTGTAAGTAAATAAGTAAATTTGACATAAAGAACTTTTTTATTGATTCAGTTGAAAATAAGTTAGTTACTTAGCCCTTGTTTGGCCCCAATTTTTTAAAAATCATTTTCCCCAAATTCATTTTCAAGCACACATTTTATGAGACTCCAATTTTTATCAACTTCTATTAAAATCAACTAAAAATCTGATTTTTAGCCCAACCAAAATAGGTCTTATTTTGATAGTAAGGTAATTACTTTCAAAATGAATAACTATTTTTAATTAAACTTAAAAAACACTAACATATCCAAATAGTTGAATAAAAGCAACTTTTATTTTCTTTAAGATTAGCCAATATTCAAAGTGATAACAGCACGATAATCAGTAGTGACTCACATATAGGGCTTCGAAAAGAAGGGGATCAATTTGACCGGCTAAGATAGTAGGCGCTACACCACAGTACCTGTTGTCAAATTATTAAGGAAATGCAGAATTTATTTGTAATGCCACGGAGGTCGCTTCACAAGTATACTGAAAAGACCGATAAATACACGCATACACAATTCTTTATTATATTATAATCTACTGGAATATTGGATACATTAATGCCCTGATCCATGTCTTGGTTCCCATAGGTTGAGAAAAATAGTAGATGATTGCAACTAGAATTATGGCTGCAAAGCACGAAATACACAAAGTATTAGAAACATTAAATTTTTCAGATGAATTTGTAGAAGCAAATTAACAGACCTGTTCGGCGAAGCTTAAAAGGTTTACTAAGTAAAATTACTAAAAAGTAGAAAATATATAACTTTTGTTTACAGGTGCAAGTTGGAAAAAGTTACTTATTTGTCACGAAGGTGAGAGCTATATTCAAAATAAGTTAATTAGACATAGGAAGCAAACTTTTAATCCCTTTTTTCAAGCTTAAATAACATTCTCTAACAGCATTTGTACTAGTGACGACAACAAACTGCTTGAAGTAATCATAGTGATGACTCAGGAATGAATATAAAGAAATATGCTTTGAAAAATTTCTTTAATTCTGCTAACTGAAGTTGGAGAAATCGGATTGAAGTCATTGAGAACAGATTTCTTTAATCTATTTTTTTTTCCCTCTCTGTCCTCTTTTGTTCTCTTCTTGACCAAGGCAAGGAAAAAAAATCCAGATCCAGTTTACATACCTTGGCCCAGAAGGAATGCCAACTCTCCATATGCGGAAAATGGAAGCCCTTTGTGTAGACAATATGCCAAAGCAATGGTATAACCAACAACCTCAAGTTCGAAGGCCACAACACTTAGTCCCCTGATGCTCTTGTGTTTCAAAATTTTTAGTATCTGAACAAGAAAAGTAAATGAATTAAACGGCAGTCGCAAGCCGAATCACAAGTTCAAACAAAATGATTACGGTGCCATAGGCAGGTGTTTTTATTATCTGAGCAATTTCTACCTTTTTTGGCAGCCATTAGATTTTGATCTTTAATTTGTTAACATTTTATCTCTTTCATTTCTTTCAAGTGTGATAAATTCCTCAATTCCAGCCTCAAACATAATCATGTCAACAGTTCTGAGGTTTGAATCTGAGTAACATAAAATACCAAGATTTGGCTTCTAATTGTACAAAGAACCGGCAGCATATAAAAATGGGCATTATTAGAACAGCCACATAGTATCATGTGGTGAAAAAGAAAAATATCCCAAGACACTCCTGAAGTCCAAATAATTTTTGTTTCTCCAACTATAGACGTGTTTTAACATAAAATTGAGGATCTGGAAATCCAAATTTTTACACCGGAAAATGTTCACTAGAACTTCAATAGTTCCATAAGTAAAAATTAAAGAAACATGATTTAAATCAAGTTTCGATCCTTGAAAAATAGAATCAATAATTGAAAAGCTAAATCAGCTTTAATCCCTTTCATATAAGAAAGAGGGAATTATGAAAATGATAATAATCTTGTGAATTGTCACATTGGGTTACTCCAAGATTTACAATTTGAATCACATACCAAAATACAAATCACTGAAAGCAAAATTAATTATACCATTAACTACAAAACCCATGTCAAAGATACAAACATTCATAATTTTTAACCAAAAATAGCATAAAAATTGAACACGTTGAAATATAACTCTAATAATGAAAAAAACACCCAAAATAGTCAAAGTTTGATTTTTGTATAAGATCAATGAGAAAATATTTACCTGAGGGAGTTTGACAGTGGTAGAGGCTGCGACGATGCAGTAACCAAGAAGCTTTGATATCAACGGAAGCAAACAGTCCTTTTCTGGGAATTCACCGCTGCTGAGTGATCCCAGCGCACAGCTAAAATCCATTCCAAGAAACTTCAACACAACCATTCTGTTCGATTTAGAAATTTTCCAATTAATTTACGAAAATATTGCAGTATATTTGTATTCTTCAGAGCGACTTCCGTGACTCGATTCGATTCGATCCGATCACCAGAGTAGAGGAAGAAATGAGGAAATTGTACTACGAGTCCCTCAGGTTTTACTGATACAACTATCACACCCTCTCCTTTTAATCAAGTTATCGTCCTATCTTATACTCTTTTACAAACACTAGTGAATGCGTGTAGTGGGTGATGTAGTGTAAGTAATAATGTTGAATTTTGGTTTCGTCGGATTTCAATGGAAAATAAAACGTACTTTGAATGAAGATTACATTGAATTATATAAATTTTAAGTCTACATATATTTTCATTCTAGGTGGTAATACTAAGCCAAAAACATTATTGTTTCATGTCATACGTGAATATATGAGTTTTAACATATTTCTCTTCGTTGGTTAATAAAAAGTCTTTTACATTATAACTCTTTTCATTTCACTTCATTTTAATGCTCAAAATTTTTGTGCTTTTCAACACTTATTTATACTCTTCATTCATTCATGGTTGATTGTCAAATAATCTAACATCAAATACATCGTATCTCATCCCATTCCTACATTAACACAAATCGCAAAACTTAAAGATTTAAATTAAGGTTAACAATTCACTCAAATACTCTCTCTTTTTTCAAATGCTAAAAAAATTATCTCTTACATTACAATTCTTTTCCGTCATCTCTTCTGAAATCTCATCATACCATCTTTAACTTCTTCTTTTTTTGGCAGGGGAATACAATTCAAGCTACATTATTCGAGAACATCTCACAACTTTTCAAGACATCTTATTACCACAGAAAGCATACCTCATTTTAAATGTACAAGTTAAAGAAATAGATAAAAATTATAGAGCTCAAATTGGAAACGTTCCGATGGACAATCAATGCAAAAATCAGCATTGTTGAAATTAAGCGCCCGTTTGGCCCTATCATTATAGTGAGATGAATATAAATTTTTTGAAAAATGTGTGGTTAAAACAATGGTCAAATATTGTGTTTGCGTGTAATATTATTTTATTAGAAAATTTGTGGTTGATCACAACTTATTTATCAGTCATAAATATACAAATCATATATCACAATTACAAATTTAGTCGCAATTACATGTTTTTAGGCCACGTGTTATTTATTGGTCACAAATTACCCATTTTATTGGTTACAGTTATGTGTTAGTCACAATCAAAAATCACAGATTTTGTAGATCACAATTTATTCAACAATAAAAAATTATCAAATTAATTGACCACGACTTATTTCTCAATCATAAATCACAGATTTTATTGATCACAAATTATCAAATTAATTGATTACAATTCATTTCACGGTCACAGAGACACAAATTATAGTCACAATTATAAATTTAGTGAGAAATTAAACATTTTTAGGTAATATATTATTTATTGGTAAGAGTTTATTCATTTTATTGCCTAACAATTAGTCACAACAATTCTTCATCTGACCTCGCTAGCACTACCACCACCCAAACGCCTCTGCCACCACCGCCTCCTCAAATCCGCCTCCACCTTCAACCAATCACAACAACACGAAAAACCAAAATTGTGGCACTGCAACCACCGCCTATACCAACAACCAACCACACAGCCGAAACACAGATGTACAGAAAATTGCAGATCGCACCATCCCTCTAAAAATGGACCTCATCTTGCGGAATTGATTCCCTCAGCCGGCAAAGAAGTCGCGACCAGGCATGGTGGGGGGGGGCATTCCGTATTATTCACCGAATAAATCAATGCTGATATTCGACGATTACATACCGATTTTTTTGTTTTTTAACCTCCAGTAATTAAAAATCAGAATTTGTCAAAAGATCAATTGTAGCACTAATTATGAACTCCAGGAGAAAAGAAAAAAGAATATGACATATCTAAAATATCATCGTCTTTAACCACCTCATTCGCCTTCTCAGCTTTTTTCATGACGATGTCATCGCTGCCTCTACCACCAAGTTTTCTATTCTGAATATGCACTTTTCACATGGAAATTCAAGAAGAAAAGAAGAACCACACACAAGATCTCAAGAACCAAAACCTTAAGAACTTGAAATACAGTAAAACCACCCTAATAATTTAAACCAAATTCCATTGCAACTACCTCTAATTAAATACAGCAAAAGCACCCCAATAAGGAACTCAAGATCTCAAGAACCTGAAATGATTGTGAAAATTCCAATTATAAAAATTACGTAAAGTTTTTTATTGGCATGAATCAAGGAGTTACTAAGTTCCAAAGGACGAAAGCACGGCGGTATTCTCTGGAGGTGGTGGTTGGCTTTGCAGCTCGGCTACCACGGCTCACTCCCATACGGCTCGGCTTAGTTGGCACATGGCTTATGAACAGTAATTGAAACTCACTCTTTTATATTTAGTTAGACACATTTTCAGCTAATACTGGCACAAATATTGTCGATTATCACCAATCATCCATAAAGAAGCATTTATTCTACATATATTTATTTTATTTAATAAAAGATTTTTGTAAATATCGAAAAAATTTATTAAAAAAAAGGTGAAGAAAGAATAAATATTTTGTTAGTGCAATCAGCAACGGAAGTGTCATCGACACTACTGATGTCATTGTCATTGTCATCGGTAATCGGAAACGAGTCTCATGTTGATCACTAATGGAATTTTTATTTGGACCTTGTTTGATTCCCATTTTCTTCAAAATATATTTTTCTCTCTATTTTTTTCAACCGCACATTATTTAATAAAATAATATTACACGCAATCTAAAATTTTTTCCTTCATTTTTAACAACACATTCTCCATCTATCTATTATTCCAAGATACACTCTATACAAAAAAAATGTGGCTCAAATAAGCCCCGGTAATTTTGTTAACGTGTCTTGAATCAATGCATAACGTAGAGGTAGCAATGGGCCTAGCTGAGCCAACTCGGCCTGTATGCCGACGAGCTCGGCTCGACCCTCGTTTATAATGAGCCGAGCTTCTGCTCGGCTCGTTACTCACTGGTCGAGCTCTGCTCGGCCTGTGAGCTCGTGGGTTAGCTCGCGGTTCGTTAATTTTTTTTTTAAGATATACCTTTTTTCTAAAAAAAAAATAACCATTCACAAAGACGAACCGCTCACCCGTGGGCCGAGCTGAGCAAGCTCGGCTCGCCTAGCGAGTTGCCCGCTCTACTCATGCTCGGGCTCGTCAACACCCACGAGCCAAGTTTTCACGAGCCGAGCGACAAGCTGCTCGGCCCATTTGCCACCACTAGCATAACAAGTTTACATATTTTAAACTTACTCAAATGTTAATATTTAATACTAATCTACTTTAGATATCATACTTGAGTTCAATTCTAATGAATTGTGTCGACACGAAATCTAGCAAGTCATGTGGCCAACAGATTTCAACTTCATTCCCATCTACGTGTAAGTTTTCTGCACAATTGAACAATATGTTGGGCACACGTGGTCGTATCTCCAGCAATTGGGGGATGCAGCTAGCCTAGGCACTCCAATGCCCAAGTCAATCAATGGTAGAAAACATTTTGGGTGTGGGAGAGGCAATGGATGTGAGCAATAAGATTTGGATTTAAGAGAAAAATGTCGAATAATATACTGTAGACATATAAGATTGCATTACATTTAAAATATACTAAGTGTAAACTTTTATACTAAGAGGAAATAAGTGTTGTATATTAGATAACTGACATGTAGCATCATCTCAAATGCTCAAGGTCAAACTCAACACGTGTCGATCACTCAATCTCAGTTATCATAGGTTAGTGGTGATCTTAAATTAAGCGAAAAGTAGTCACCATATGTCCTAGGCTTGTCATTTGAAAAGTAGGCTAAAAAGTTAACTGATAGCATGTATTATAGAGTTGCGAAATTCGTAAGACGCAAAAATTATCTTTGTAAGGAAGATCGCTTAACTGAAGCAATGTTTGTTGAAGATGTCTTATGAAACAAAAGTTTGATGCTTCGAAAATGTACCCCAACAACTTGTAATAACTCACCTCGCACATCGCACTTCAGATGAGGCCCTTTAATCACCTGTCCCTTCTGCTTGTTTGCTTCGATTGAGCTTGAGAGGACAATGTGATGTAAAGTGTGGGCCTTGTATGGTTTCTTGCTCTTTCTTATTTGGCTACCATGTGACCTACCTTATTGGGCAAGACATAACAATAATATCTGAAGTTCAAGCATGAATATTTATTTAAGGGATGGACTTCAATATGAGTTAGTGAAATAAATCAATGGCACCGCTAGAAGATGACTTACAAACTACCCTCGAAACATAAAGCCGTCTATGAACAGATAAGTACTAAATCTTTAGAAGCCAAGGACTTATAGATGGCCTCTGAGGTGAGGCAATCAGGTGAGTAGTGTCATTTATCCAAAATCTGTGTGATTGGATAGGCGACGAGTTATAGTTGTTGTAATCTATTCTAATGGTGTAGTGACTAAAATGGATGGGTCATATGGCGAAACTCATTTTGAGGTGACACAAGGGCGTAATGAAGTGGTGTGAGCACGATAGTCCTTCTAGTCTAGGCATAAATATTAATGAGGGGTAATGATAGGGCTACACGCTTCTTTATGCACACGTGAGGTGCTGCCTTGTCACAACCTTCATTCAAAAATGAAAATGGCACATTTAGGTCTCAACTGTTCGAATGCATTCAACAAATTTTGTAAGATGGACATGGTACATAATTTGCTAATTTAATATTGGAAAAGGATTCAATTCTTGGAGTGATGGGATTGATATCTTGTACCATTTGTGAAACCTTCATAGTTCAATGCACACAAGGCTTTCATCTACTTACACAGCTCATGAAAAGTTTTGAGGTGGCATTGCAAGATGGATAAAAGATATGAGCTCTATGGTATCAATGTGATAGTGACATACAATGAATAAATAGAGTGCCAAATTGTATCGTAAAATATTGGAAGACTATTTAATATCTATCTATTATAA